TGGGGCAGACGACGTATTCGCGGGCACGCGGTTCGAGCGCGCCGAGGCTCGCGCGTTTAGTCCCGTTGCGTGCACGAGTGTAGCCCTGTCGCCTGCGCAACCCGAGAATTCGGAGCCGCCCAGTCCACGCGAGGGCCCCGCCGGTGGGTCATCGCGCCCGCCCTGCTCGGCCGATGCCAGGCCCCATGGGTGACGCCGCGCTGGCTCGCGCTCGGACCCGGGGGCTTCTAGCGCGTCGGATCTGTGCTGTGCGAGGATTGAGCGGCGTGGGGCTGGTGGGGACGTGCGAAGTGGGGAGTGGGCGCGTCGAGCCGTGTGGGAGCCGGGAACGCGTCGGCGTGGGTCACGCGGCGGCGTTTCCTGTCTCTCTCCCGCACCCTTCTCTCTTTAACAAACTTCGTCAACAGCCCCGGGTACACCTTCACGGGCCTGACAGGCGGGAACGCGCCGGGCGTGGTCAAGCCCGCGGCAGCGTGGACGGCGCAGGAGACGGTGCGGCACATGCTCACGCGTGTCGCGGCGGGCGAGTTTTAGGTGCTGTGCCCGGATGGGGAGACGGGGCTTGAGGTAAGTGGGCGGACACGCGCACACTTCGTATGCCTACGGAATCCGCGCCAAATTGCAAGGGCATCCCATGAGGAACGCTGTCGCCGCCCACGCAAAGAGCCCGGTGCCCTCTCCGACGATTCTGCGAGTGTGACACTGGTAGGCGGCATAATCGAGTTCCTGCTTACCATTGCCAGTGGACTTCAACGCGAGATCTCGACTACGAGGTGCCTCTAGCGCACAGGGGCGCGCATTACGCAGAAGAATGCAAGAAATGGCCGCCGGGCACAATTTCGTTGCAATCTCGCGTTGAACACAAATAAAAATGCGGAAACACCCAACACGGATCCGGACTTCAGACCTGATTGTGCGGCTCGTTTTCTCTTTGCGATATCAACATCCTACTATGTAAAGTACAATAGCGTGCAATAAAATGTTTCGACAGTGCTTTCGGCAGTTAATCTGAACGGAACCAGGGTTCTTCTGAGTTTCTCTTGAATCCTCTCTCCCCTTCCCCTTTTCGATTTATTTTTTGCGTTTTCCCGGCACGAGACCCAGTGTATTGAAATCAAAACCATTGTGTACGCCAGCTTGCGGCTGCTTGACCGTTGCAAACAACGCAAGACTTTCTCCCCCAAACTCTGGCGATGGATCCTCTATCTCACCGTTACACGGATCCTTTCTCCTCTTTACTCCTACCCAATCCCGAGCAGACACATCAGCTCCACGACCTTCTTCGCTCAAATTCTCTGCCCCGCGAGGCATCGCATTTCCAATCCGTGATTGCGTCGGCGGCAGCGGACCTTGTGGACTATGATACAGCCATCGAGCGATTCCAGCAGATGCTGAGGACCATGGCTTCCGAGCGGGCAGCACTGCAGGACTATAGTGACAGGTGCCGCAGTGTTTTCGCACCAGTGCGACGTCTTCCGACAGAGATCCTTGGAGAGATTTTCTCTTTGTGTGCTCTCGAGCCTATGCAGCTCTTTGTTTTCTGGGAACACAAGACTCCCAGGAATAACATCGATCGTGTCGCTCAAACACATCTGCTACGAGTATCACAGGTTTGCTCGAGCTGGCATACAACAGTCATGGGCGACCATTGACGTGGACCTATCCGAAACACAACCGCGTGATATCACAAAAATCACAAAACTCCTCTCCCTTTCCCTCCGGCGATCCGCCAATTACCCCTTAACGATTCACGTCCATGCAGGCCGTTCAATCGATCCGAGTCGTGCAGTGCTCGAACTGTTGGCTGAACACTCGTCTAGATGGCAAACGGCAGACATCTACATCTCGGAGTTTGCTTTCGCATATATTTCGGCTGCCAAGGGCAACCTTCCGCTCCTTGAGCGTCTCAATATTAGCGGGGCTTCCCTTTCTCTGCTGGATATCTTCGAAGACGCCCCCAATTTGACCCGGGTGTCATTTTCGGAGTTGGGCTCAGACCTGCCGAAGCTGCCTTGGAGCCAGCTGCATGGAGTAACCTACAGCCATGTCTGGTCTGTCGACAACCTTCGCGACGGCCTACAAATTATGGGCCGCTGTCCAAGTGGTTGCCGGTTCAGCATCTTCGATCTGGATATTGCCGATTTACTCTCCCTATTCCCGGCCTCCTGCCCGTTCACTCCAATGTTTCTCATTTCGAGCTGGCGCTGGCGGATGCCAGCGGTTCCGCTCACTCCGGCCAGGCTCTTGGGGAAATCTTGGCAACACTTACCCTCCCAAATTTGCAGTGGTTGACGCTTGAGAGTATTATCGATATACATCCTCTGGGTTGGCCTCAGGAGCAGTTCCGTGACTTGGCCGTCCGCTCCTCATTCTACGACACCTTGCAGTATCTTTACCTCCACCATATAGTCATAAAAGATGACGCTCTGGTGGAATGTCTTTCCGAAATGCGAGCCCTCCTGGAGTTGTATATCGAAGATGTCTCCACGAGTGTTCGAGGCGGCACAGATAATTTGCTCATCACGGACGGCCTTCTCCAGAAGCTCATTTGGACGTCGGATCAGACTTGCCTCACCCCCAACCTTATCCGTCTCAGCTTCACGTCGCCTTTTACCTTCAACGACCACGTCCTCTGAGATTTCGTCGCCTCCAGGTCGGCTCCCAGCCGAGATGAGCCGTTCGAGCTTTCAATGTGGTGGTACCCTACACCCGATGAGCGCGACATCGATATTGCGGTAGCGGTTCGCATGTCAGAGTTGGAAGAGCGGGGCCTCCTGATTTGGTCTTTCTGCCCAGTTTGACCTCTCCAAGTAAGAGCATTTGCATACTGTATGGGTTTATCTAATACTCACCCTTCTAGTGTCCTAAATTGCCCGTGGGGCGCATGGTCTCTTGAAGTCCAATAGCACAAGGCAGTAGTTGAATATCCCGTCTCTATTCAAATGCTGTTCATAGTTTCAACGAAGAGATTTTCAGTGTATGCTCGTGCACTTATTTTCGTCCTGTCGTCGCCGAGGTTTATGCATGACTGACCTGCAATGCATCTATCCTCTCAACAGGTGTGTTTCTTCAGGATTCGAGCAATCTTCGCCGCCCCTCATGCTCCGAGTAGACTCCCATTAATTAACCCCGCTATAGGCCGGTCAGCAAGCGGCGGAGGAAACCGCTGCCGTAATGCTTCGTTTTTCAGGCCACTGTTGCAGAGTGGCTTCGCCGGCCCATGTTGCTCCCTCTCCGACGTGTTCCGACCTTCGCGTTTATGCTTGAAATCTTATTGTGCTTGCAATTTCCATTCCCGTGTATATTTATTTCTCGACCGTGTGGAGTCTTCTCTCGTGTGACTCGTGTTACGAATCCCATTGACTTTTTTCGCTTACATTTATCTGAAGAGTTCAATCTGAAAACTGGGGCCGGAAGCTATCATCCAGCTGTAAATGCACAGACCGTTCGTTCGAGTTCTTGTAAATGCCGTTAAGGCACGGGTTGAAACATCTCAAAAAAAAAAAAAAACAGCTGCCAAATAGTCGACAGAGCGGCGGTCGCAGACGAGCAAATATTGGGATACGGCCAAGATAAAGAGTGCGTTATCTTGAAAGCTTAAGCGCCGATACGTTGAGTTGGTTTGTTGATGAAATGGCTTGGGTGGATGGCTCAAAACGAAGATATACATACACTCAGAGTATGTGTGACTACCCAGTTGCTGAATGGAACTGATGGTGATCAATTTAAGATCAAATGGCGGTCAAAGCGAGATATATTAGATGTAATTAGGGTTAGGGTTAGGAGGGCGGAAGGTCGAAAAAAAAATGGCCCACCCAGCCGAGTGGCCGTGGTGGAACTGGAAAATATTGAGACGGTGCATGGGCCTAAGCCCATACAAGCCGCAAGCGCACTCTGTATGGACAGGGTCGCCGTGCTATGGAGTGTTCCTACGGCCCACAGACCCAGGGAGGTGAAGGGGCCTATGCCATCAAGGTAAGTATGAGTCGCAACAACGATGGGACGATCTTTTTATACGGCTCCCGCGCGCACGGACCTGATGGAGTACGCGTTATTTGTGCAGGTATTTGATGTGGTGCACGTGCCCAACTCACGCGTTTCGCTTGAACTTCACCACCACAACGGCGAGCTGAAGACAACTGCTCGATTTCTACCCGGCTTTCTTTCTCTGTTCGTCAAATGCATTCCTTGGTCTTACTTCTGTTTCAACGCCGTCCCTCAATCATAGCTCTACATCCGTTGGTGGCCTCATGACCGACACGAGCGTCGACGGGCCGCCCGACAAACGACTCTGACCGGCAAGGCTACCAAAACGAGCGCTGCGAAGCTGGGAAAGACTCCGGAACACCTGGCCTCGCTCAGAGAATCTCCCTGGATCACCTGGTACTTCTATCATAGCCGCACCGATGTCAATGACGGCCTGAAGGCCGTATTTATACCCCCCGTCGACGTCCAACTTGCACCACCAAGATGAAGTGCTCAGTGGCGATACTGAGTTGGGTCCCAATCATCTCTGCAGCCACAGCTGCGTCGAATTGTCCGTCTGTGGCGCTTCCGCTCGCTGGTCTCTTCGAGAACCAAGCAGCGTCCGCGGACGGAAGCGCAGATTTCGACGCGCACGGCGCAAGTTTCGACAGTCAGTACCTTCCTCCGGGGCCATGGGTCCACGATGGCATCACGGTATGTTGGTAAAACCGCCTAGCTCTACATTTGGCTGACGGATGTGTGGCAGTACGACTTTCCCAGCACCTGGGGCAATGCGAGCGACAACGTCGTCGCAAATGGACAGATTCTGCAGCTCGAAGAGCCTACTTACGTTCATGAGCTTCATATGGTCTACTCGGGCGACGCCTCCGGAAGTAAGACCCGCCCATTGTATGCATCCCTATCTAACCTTGAATACCCTAGGCGCCCATGAATTCGTCGCGAATTTCATGTTAAATTTTGCGGACAATAGTACTCAACAGCTCCAACATATGCAGTCTTTACTTAGAAGGAATGGCCTGATAGCACAGCGGGTAGTGCAGCTGCGTAGATTATCAAGTTCTCAGATTTATGCAGAACGTCCCTCGTTCGATTCGGGGTCAGGTCATAGTCATAGTCCATGGCGATTGGCTTTTTTTTGTTTTGTTTTTCTTTTGGCGGTCTAGAAACCAAGGTGAGTTCAGCTGGATTGAAAGTGGGGCACAGGAGGAGTGAACCTGATAGCACAGTGGAGTGCATCTGCTTTAATTGGCGAAACACAGTCAAATGTAGGCAGAAGGTCCCTGTTCGATTCAGGGTCAGGTCATCTGTTAGCGATAGTGTTTTTCTCTGCTTCTTTTGGTGGTCTAGAAACCACGGCGATTTTTTTTTTTTGACTCATTGTTATTTCCCCTCTACTGTGTGCAGTATGGTAGGGATACTTCTAAACTAGTTGTAGCAAGGCGAAAAATCAGTAGCAAAAGTTCAGCGAAATTGTGACCGATGGTCCCACATAAGACCAGAGCGGGCAGACGCGTTCGTAAATGCTGTGGGATAAGTAAGTAGATAGAGTATGGGGGATATAGGCCACATGGGCACAGTGAGATATAAAGGTAGGAGAAGAAGAAAAGGAAAACCAATCCGGGACTATTGGGGTGCGGTGCATGGAGATCCTGCGTGGCATGGGCGATAGCGAGAGGCTCAGCAGTGGGTACCGAACAAAAATGCACCTGAGAGCATCATCCGGTGAGCAGCACTCACGTCGCTAAAAGTCAGCTTGAGAGAAACTTTCTCCCGTTCTCTGTACTCCTCCCGCCGACAGAGCACCCGTACCGACTTCACCTCGGTGGCGCTGTTCCCAGTTGTCTCGAGAGTGGTCCAGAAGCCCTCCTGCTCGAACTTCAAAGAGTCGAGCAAGGGAGCGAACGGAACACCATGCAAGACCAGCGAGACCCAGGGTGAGTCCACCTCCAAGACGGCCGGGCCCTGAAAGTGACCGCACTCACGTCGTACAGCCTCCAGAATGGCCTCCCCATGGACAGCCGAAAGCTGAGAGGCTGTGTACGGAGCACGCGCATGGATCACCAGGCTGCCGTTGCTAGTCCAATTGACACCTTGGACATGCGGAGGGGCATGGTGCTCCCGTGCCGCCTTATCCAGTGCTGAAGCCAGAACAGTAACAGTGGCGCGGGCCTCAGGGGGAGACCCAGTCCAGCGTAGGATGAGGCGATGAGGGGAATGGCGGGGCTGGCGGGGAGAATGGGGCTTCTTCGATTTCCGTGCCGGGACCGACGGCTCCGGCGGAGCGCGGTTACGTGCAGGAGCCGGGGGCGGTGCTGATCGGATCGGATCAGAGCGGGGCGTGTGCGCAGCAGATGCCACGCTGGCATAGGTGGGGGCGATAATCGGGGGCGAGGTGGGGCAGATGCGTGCCTGCAAGTCCATGGAAAGATGTTGCAGGATACTGTCGTAGGGAGGAACAGGACCTCCCAGCTCGATCGCGTCCAAGGTCGCGTTTGCGCGCTCAAGAATGGCCACGAGGGCATTGAGCAGCAGCCGCTGATCGTCGGACCAGGGGCCTTCCCCCTCAGGCTGCTCCTCAAACAGATCCCACTGCTCCACAGGAGGCTCGGGGTGTTCAGTGGGCGCAGCCAGAGGAGGGCTGGGTGATGGGGCAGTGTCGGCAAAGAAGTCCAGAGGGTCCAGCGAAGGATGCTGTACACGAGTCCGTTTGACTATGCGGCGAGTAGAGGGGGATTTGGTGACGGGCTGGCCTTCATGAGAAGAGTCAGAGTCCGAAGAAGCGTTGTCGGCAGGTTTGGGGTGCACCGTGCCCGCCTTTGGGGACGGCGGGCCCCCGGGCGGATTTTGGTCATGGTGGCCTAAAGGAGAAGGCATCACCACGGCGAGTTCAGTTGGTTTGAGAATGGGGGTGCAGAGGAATGACCTGATAGCACAGTGATTAGTGCATCTGCTTTAATTGGCGAAATGCAGTCAAATTTAGGCAGAAGGTTCCTGTTCAATTCGGGGTCAGGTCATTTGTTTGGGATAGTGTTTTCCTCTGCTTTTGTTGGCAGTGTAGAAACCAGGGTGAGTTCACCTGGCTTGAGAGTTAGAGGAAAAAAGAGATCTGATGGCATAGTGGCTAGTGCGTCTGTTTCAACTAAATGCTTGTTGGATGTTGTTAGGCAGAAGATCCCCCGTTCGAATCGAGGTCCGGTCGTTGGCAGTATACAAAGTCTTTTTTTTTTTTTCCTTTTCTTTCCTTTTCTTTTCTTTTCTTTTGGAGGGTTAGAAACCAAGGTGACTTGGTTTGAGAATGTGAGTGGATGGAATGACATGATGGCATAATGGTTCGTGCATCTGCTTTAACTAAGAATTATTGATGGAAGTTAGGCAGAAAGGGTCAGGTCATGACAAGTGATAGTCTCTTTTTTCTCTTCTTCTTCTTTGGCCGTCTAGAACCGAGGTGAGCTCAGTTGGTTAAACAATGTGAAAAGACCTGATTGCATAATGGTTAGTGTGTCTGCTTCAACTAGGCACACTTGGTATTGGTTAGGCAGAAGGTCCCTTGTTTGATTCGGGGTCAGGTCATTGCTACTCTCTTACCCTCTTTTTGTGGTTCCCGAAACCGAGGCGAGCACATCTACTTTGAGAATGAGGGTTGGAAGAAAATGACCTGATGGCATAGTGTTTAGTGTGTCTGCTTTACCTACCAAAGGAGCTGAAGAATAACTTCAGCAGAAGGTCTCCGTTCGACTCGGGGTCAGATCATCTTACTCGAGAAAAGGTTCTTTCTCTTTAAAAAATGGTTTTTCGAGAGCGGTGGGTTGACTCAGATTTAGAGTGGGGGTGAGAAGGAAGGACCTGATAGCAGAATGGTTAGCGCATCTGCTTTACCTAGAGTTAGCGACCAGGAACTTGCAGAAGGTGTCCGTTCGGGGTCAGGTCATTCCTATGCTCGATCATGGTTCTTTTGTTCCGGCCGGAGTTCAACTGACCTATGTTTTTCGAGGTGGGTCAGGGATTAACGCCCCAGTGAAAATCCCGTATGCCGGGATCTGCCGGGATCTGCCGAAATCCGCCCATTTTTGGCTCATATCTGCCCGAACCTGCCGCCATCTGTCGGCCGCCAAAATTTTTGAAACTATGACGTATTTCAGCACTTGGAGCTTCGCGCAACTTACCAAAATTTGGTTTTGAATTCGACGTCGATGGCGTGAACCAGCTCGAACGGGGGATCAGGCGGAGTTTGAAACCCTTCTTGCTTCCCGCCACCACCATCAGCCGCCTCCCTTCCCCTTCCCGCCTCCATCCATCCCTTCCCTCCATCCTCGAGTGTCAACCAAGCCTCCTTCGCATATTCCCTGCGACCTGCAGCTCAGCGTCCCACCACGTCGCCGCCGCGAAGACACAAAACGACGCGATGATACATTTTCGACGCGCCCATTTGTCTTTCGTCGTAGCGGTTACCTCCTTATTTCACTACGCGTCGCATTAGATGAGCTTAGCCATTCGGTGAGTCCTTGCTTCGAATCGAGGCCCTTCGCTGACCTCCGTGCCGCGACGAATGCACGATTTTGACTTCGGCCGTAGCGCGTCGGGGCATACCAAAGTCTCTCGGTATGTTCTCTAGTGGCTGGGCTTTCCCTTTCCCGTTCTCGCCATTTCTCAGCGCTGTCTGAGACTCCGCACGCCGGGTCGGCGTCCCTTACCCTGCGCGCGTCCTTCATTTGGCTCCGGATCCTGTACTAGTCTAATCTACCCGTAGCGAACGGGATGGCGCTTCGCAACGCTCTCGCCGCATGGAGCATCTTCGACGCGGAGGATTACGCGGAGAATTATGGTGAGTTTATCACTGCGATAATACACCCACATACTTACGTTTTTTACTCCACGGAACAAACCCCCGACTGTGTCGCCATCGTGTATGTCTCTTTCCCCATTTCCGACGCGTCCTAACTTTATATTCCCACGGCGATACCCATACCCTCTTTCGTCTCGCAAAGCGTTCCGCTCGTTGTCAACATCTTCACTTTGAAATGGAACTTCCTTTCGCCATACCAACTTTGGGCGGGCGGCGCACGCTCGGTGGCGTCCAGTGCAGTGCAGCGCAAGCAACGCTGGGCCGTTGTTCTTCGATTCACGAGCTGGGATAGCGCCGCGGCGCCGGGAGTTTGCGGACAGATAGGATGGCGCGTACTTAGCTTACTTCGTGTAGTAGCAATTGAATAATATTCATTTCTGAAGTACAGTCAAAGCTCTCCTAACCCATAGCTCTCGTAACCCATAATGTCCAATACCCCATAGGTTTTTGTGGATTTTTTGACCTTGTTCCTCAATTAAAACCCATACGTCTGCAGTAACCCATAGGCCAGAGTGTCCACCGACTACTATGGATTAGGAGAGCTTCGATTGTATATAGAAGTTGTTGTGCATACTTAGAAGAGACAATACCCCTTAGCGGGTAGGTTCATGAACGCACAAGGAGAGAGCGAGGAACGATTTAAAGGAATCATATCAAAGCAAGACAAGAAAGTTTACGTGCAGAGAGCTACAGACATTGGTTTCCAGTCCAGCAATCAAAAGACGATGTTAGCAATCTGAATGGTGCTGGCGGCGTCGTTGAAAACCACATAATTGCTCGCCAAAAAGACCTCTCCAAAAGTCATCTCAGAAGATGTCGTGGCCTGAATACCGCCTCCACAAACTGACAGAGAAGTGAGTAAAAATGAGCATCAGGTCTTTTTAGTGGAACTCACTCTTTGTACCGTTGGGAAGAGTGGTGTAGTATGACCAATTGATTTCATGACTGACAGGAGCTTGCACGCCTCCAACATCCAGAGTCAAGCTTGGGAAGGTTGTCGTCGAGCAGGGAAAAACCCAAATGGTCGAGTTTTGATAAGCGCCTGTAACGCCAGCATAGAAGGTTGAGGCGATTTCAGGGTAGACAAAGAGCAAAGTTGTCCCGGTGTCTACCAGTGACGAATGAGGTTGTGAGTAATAGGGAAGCGGAGATGAGGAAAGGGCCGTACCAATAAGGGCTTTCCCTTGAGTTGTAGATGTTACGCTATGTTGGACCCCATTCACGTAATAACTGGTGGAAGTGAAAGCCCATTTGGAAGAGCCAGAGATAAGAGGCACTGTTGAAAGAGTGCCTGTGTACTGATTGCACATAGCCTAAGTATGTGATTACAGAATGAGATGTTGCCACAAACCTTGCTTGAGTCGATGTATCCAAAGTCGATGCTAGATGCAGCAGCACCGCTTCCCCATGGGAGATAGGCAGCGAAAATAGGGGTCGGAAGAGAAGATGCAATATTCTGCATAAACGTATTCTCGTTGATGATGGTACCGGCCGAGTTTTTGACTGATCAGAATCGTGTTAGCATTTTAAAATGTTCGTAGCAGGCGGCAATCACCAGGCATAGATCCTCGCTGCATACCAATCACTCCAGCAACAGCAGTACTAGGAGTGCCTGAGTTAGCTGCACCCAAAGCTGTACCCGTGAAGGTAATTCCAGCCATAGAAACTTTGTCCGTTCCCACGACGCCGGCGGAATTTGGGCCACTGATGTAGTTGATGCTGTAAGTGTACCCAGGAATTTGGGCCCAGGTGGTGGAGGCACTGATGTTGTAGTAGACATCTCCACTGAGACTGCCAGTATAATAGGTACTCCAAACCCAACTAGAGTCATTGAATACCTGGGTAATAATTGTGCAATGAAAAAAATTGACTTACAGAACCGGGCTGCCTGTGTCGAACAATATAGGGAGGGTCTGACTGCCAAATGTGATATCAACAAGGATATCGCCGTGGGCATGGGTCCCAGATGCACTGCCGGTGATGGATCGTTTCCCCGCTTGATATCTTTCGCTTGCGCGACTAGCGGGCAAGCTGAATGATCCAGGCGCTGATCGCTCTTCGATGGCCAATGCGGCGGCAAAGTAGAGCAAACCAAGGAGGGTTACTAGAAGTGGGCAAATTTGAGGCATGTTTGGTGGCGAAGAGATGGTTTGTGGGTAGGTGGTGATTCCTGAGAGAACGAGGAGACTTCGTTATGTTGAAATGAAGGCAACCACTGCCTTTACTCGGGAATAGCAGAAGACTCTCGCAAATGCGCAGGGAATTGATTCGACAACTACGACGTATTTATACAATATCTGGACAGGAATCAATGTAGCTAAAGAAGGAGAATTAAACCAACTGGAGATGATGTAAGGTACAAGGGGAGGAAGTACGACGTTAAACGCAGTCAACGCAAGTGGAGCAGGAACGCGTTGCCTTGATACGCCAGGCAGCGGCGGCGGTGACAGCAAGCGATGGACTCGAACTCCAACCCGTTATTGAGCTACAAGGAAAGTGGGTCCTTTTATAGCTTTCTAGCAAACAAGTCGTCCACGGTGTCCACCGCTCATTGATTTCAGGTCTTCAATGTAGAGTTAGCAAACGGAAGGGGACATAGAACCAGAGGACGATTGTATTACGATGTCACCTCGCTATTTTGAATGGATGCCAATACCGAGGATATCTCCAGTCATGATGGGATTACGGAGAGGCCAGGAAGTACACTTTCACAACGTCACAACGAAGCGATTCAGCTTTCATCCATTAAGGCGTGGGCCGCTGATCACAAGATGTTCATCAGCTGCTCACGGGTATGGAAAGGGCCGTGAATGAAAACGCAGGAGAAGACAAAGGGGTTGACCAGTCAAACTCCAGAGAGAACAAAGTATGTACATCAACAGTGGTTCGGCCCGATAGTTGAATATCAAGGCAGATGATCGACATCATATAACTCGAATCGGGAGACTTTCTGCCCCGTTTCTCGCAGAGCGCGACAGGAACAATGAAGAGCATCTGACCATGACAAATACCGTCGGCCCATGATCTCGCCCGATGATCGCGAACGGACATTTAAAGATAGTCCATTAAGTAGCACGGGTAAATGATTCACCAAAGAGAGGTGTCATGATTGGTTGCCTGCAAACAGTAAATAAATGGAAACTGAACGGTTAAACGGTTTCAAGGACATCACTTGCCTAGCATGGTCTGCGCGGGGGATTTCTGGGCATACAGTGCAGTACCTGGGCTGGAAAGAGGGTGTACAGCTTGTAATTCTCTAGGCCACCCCCAAATGGGCAGGAGTTCCCCAAATCGGCGATCCGATGGCCCCCGGTCATCTCGGCGAAGTGATAAAGCTCGGTTCCTCTGAAGAAGAAAAGACTGGTCCTTAAGGGGACCGAAATGAGTCAGGGTCGTGTCGGTGGCGGCGCCGAGTCGTGCAGCCGATGCCTCCCTCGCGCAAGCACGAGAAAGGCTCTAAAAGTAGAACTGTCAGAGCGAAAAGATCAAGGAAAAACGTAGCTCAATGTGTTGTGAAATTCGGTGTGCGCGGGAGCTCATAGTCGAAGTGAATGTATTGGGATGGTGGTGGTATAACGGAAAGGTGTAGAATATTCCGTAAATTGGACGGCTGCTCCCGTTCTCGTGGGACGCCGGAGCCCGTAAGCGAAATGTGTGAACATGAAACATAGCGTACGTAAAATGTCCGTTGTAAATCCCTCGGCCAAGTCAGCTTCTTAGCTCATTGAACACCGGGAGACGCGCAAAGACGTACAGGGAGATATATGCGGCCCCGCTCAGCGCCGGATGTGGGTGCCCAAGCCACTTTGAAATTGATCCCCGACGCGATCCGAGTGAGTAACGGCATCGAAACTGACATTAGCATTGGGATTGCTACGAGGTACCTGGAATACAGCAGTCGAGAAGGTGGTGAGGATATGCGATGAGATACTAAAAATGCTGTGAGTATTATAATCCGAGCATGACCGTGTTCCAACGCTAAAGCGCATGATCTCCGACAGAATGGGAATATCGAAGCTTGGCAGTGCAATGTAAATGATCTTGGCAGCGCAGCTGCAGGTAGAATTGGACAGTCTGTGAGTGGATAGAATAGGTTCAAGAATAAAATATGCAAGAAACACGCAGTGCAGGAATAAAAGAAATTGAAGACGCGCCGTGTTGTTTTGTTTACTCAGCACGTGCAACCGGGCTGATCCGCGAAGTACTAAGTCGCACTTCCACACCTCCACAGCTCAACTTGGTATGTAGAGGTTCACAGCAGAAGCTGAGATGCCAGATACTTGTGAGTGCAAATTACTCATGATTGCAGAGTGCCTGTTGCCTTACACTGCCAACTGTCCTATCAGGTTATTCCAGTGGAATGGCCAAAGTTGGAAAAAACCGGTCAATCCAGTGGAAATCCAGTAGAGAGCACTGGTAGGTTCTGTGAATTGAGAAGGTCGGTTTCCGACGGGTCGGACACCCTTATATAGGCAATAATTTAAAGAAATGGCAGCAATAAGAATCGAACACGCGACCAAAACATTACACCCATGCTAGGGCAGCACGCTAAACAAGTACATCACAGAGACCTTAAATACTTGTGCATCTGTTGCAATCTACACGGCCACCCGTCTCTCCCACGCAGACACACACTGCAACCACACTGACTGCAGACGTTGTCGACATCATCTTTTCAGCACCGATTCACATCGCTTTAAGACTCATGAATGAGGACCATCTGAACTCTTTCAGTCTCACTTCTTCGCCAAAGAGCCGGACGTCCTCGAGACGTCCTTGACAAGTGTTGAGCTACTGCGTGTGCAAGGCACGAATTATTGCTCCAAGTCCGACACATCGATATCGATATCACGTACACATCGCCGCCATCAGACGATGCCATCATCAACCAGTGGAGAACATACGGCCAGTTTTCGAAATCCAGGCCCTCTATAGTTTTCCACAGAATCTACCACCGATATCCACTGCCTTGCTCTCCACTGGAAATCCAGTGGAAATTCGGTATTTTCCACCGATCCGATCTATAGAATTCCATTGATCTGATTTCCACTGGACTCAACAAATGGGACGGTTGGCAGTGTACATTGACTGTCGCGCCCCTAACAGTCCTGTGAGCAAAAAATACTATTTAGGTGAAAGTGAGGGTGTAAGTCGACCGACATGCTGGGGATCTACGAATACTTTCTATTTGATGACCCAAGATGCTCGGCAGAATGATATTTGCGCACCGGAACGTCGTGCACAATTTCGTCGACGAGGACTAGTAATACGCTTGCATACCCTGAGGAGCGGCCTGTGAAATTCCGAATCGCAGCCAGTGATCTGGAAAATGGCCAACCTCAACTTGAACCGCATTCAACGCGAACCTTTGCTTACATAACGGTACAATGTGTGCGCGCGCCCGCAAGTGAGGAACGAAATTAGCATATCATAATTCCGAATCACGTCGAGAGAGACGACAGTATCCAAATAGCGAAACGCGAGGGGCCCACGGCGTGGATTCACACACCCGCTCCGCAGATACCGTGAAAGAGAGCCAACATTGAGGGCCATGGGCGACATGAGTTAGCAGAGCAAGGCATAACGACGATGGAAAGGGTACAAGGCCACAGACAAATGAGCCACGTTCTCTTGAGTTCCAGAAACGGCGCCGCCATCATTTCCCGCTGATTCCGAGTCGGATGATACGCGAAATCTCTTGATTCGGAGGCAAAACAGCCACAGGCGGTGAAGAATCGAGTGTGCAGCATCGCAAACCCGGCCAGAACGCGGTCAAGTCCCAATGATGAGCCATCCAGAGTAGGAAACGCAGCACCCAGCAGACAGAACACTGGAGACATATACATAAAAAGTCAGAGGACGGCGGAAGATGGTGGGAGTACGACTGTGCCCGGAGTCAGCCACGAGGCGGTGATGATAATGCAAGTCTCCGCCGGTAGCTATAAAGAGAGAGAGTTGAATGTTCGGCAATCGCTGACGGCCGCAGTTATTCGGCGGTACTGTGTGTCTGAGCGAGGTGAGTTACAAGGAGTAGCGGATTTACTTTACAGAGCTGAAAGTTGGCAGGAAGACGAATGCAAAACGGGACGGCGCGAAACTCCTGAGAGGGCGGCGATCCACAATACTGAGATACAGAACCGATTGTAGAAACCGCACCGGAGCCACGGACTCCTGCAGCACAGGCGCGGGAGCCTTGGACCAAAGAGAAAAAATGAGGATCGCGAAGGGGAATCAAATGAGTGAAAACTCATACAAAACTGGGGGTCAAGCAGGTGGGCGCAGCGAGTTCATGACCTGCTACAGAGCAAGGTTAGTGAGCGCGTACCTCAATTCTTGTCCGCGCGAACCAGGGATTTTGAGGGGAGGAGCTCCGAGTCGCAGACCCTGCGAGGCATAATAACCGGGTCGCAATCGTGCTTGAAGGCCGCGTAATCGAATGAGACCCGGCCAGGGGTGCGATGCGAAACAGGAACCAAAGCAAGGAGACTAGGGAGAAAATGCGCAGAGATTCGGGGGAGTGAGACGCGAGGTCGCTGTACGGTCGCGGGCTGCTGCGGTGGAGCGCCGAACACATTCGGTTGTCCATGTGCGGGTACCCCGCCGAAGGGGAACCCCTGCGCAGCCTGGGGCGCACCAAACAGCGTCGGCGCTTGCGGTGCAAATGCGTCGACAGCTGCAGGCGTCGCCAGCGGATTGGGCTGGCCGAGCGAGATCATACCCCCGGGCGCAGGCAAGCGCGAGTTCGCGCGCGTCGGCCCGCCGGGGAAGATCTGCGCGGAGGAAGGAGAGGCGGAGTTCCTGATGGGCGGGAGGACAATGCAGAGGCGAGCGCCCAGCACAAAGATAGAGCAACGGCAACGCGCGACAAAAAGAGAAGGAAGTCGGTTAGATCGAGAGCGTACACATGGATACAGAGACGCACCTCGACGCTGTGGCCGGCTAACTCGGGGCGCGCGGAGATGCTGACGAACGGGTCGCCGGACGCGTCCCGCGGGAGCGCACCCGGCTGCGCCACGGGAATCGATGGGGCGCGGGTGCCGCGCCGCGCGCGTAGGCGAACAGCCGCAGTTCCTAATTTCCCGTGTCAGCACGAATTCAGGGTCAAAGGCAGCGGACGCACGTCGTGGCTGAATGCGCATACTCCGGCGCGGCCGCGATGCTCGCGAACTGCTCGTTCTCGGGCGCCGGACGGGCGCCGTGAACGCCTGCGCGAGGGGCAGCCTTGCGGGGTCGGTGATCGCCGCGGCGCTGCTCGGACCCGCTGCGGGCGTGCCGAACGCCGTGCCCGCCGTGGGCGCCGCACCACCGAAGGGCAGCGAGGTGGGCGGCGCGCGCGGCGGGGTCGGTCGGGCAGGGTGGACACGGCGGCGGTGGGCGGCCTGTCGCGCAGTATGAGGCCAGGTAGTTCGTGATGCGCACCTCCTGCAGCAAACGAGTCAGTGGCACGCTTTGGGCCCGGGAAAAGGCTAGAAACCTCGAAGGATTGGGATTGGGGGCCTGTGAGACAGGATACAGGCAGGCTCATGCACGTCTCGCCGCTGCTTGCCACAGTATTCGAGAACGCCATCGACGAGGAAGACAAGGGCTGGTAACGCTCACGTGCCGTGAGCGTGACTCACTTGTCGCCGACTTGCGTCTTGACTTGCGTGTATGGATTCTCGTTCTACGCGTTCTGGGCCTACATAGACAAGAACTGTAGTCCAAAGCCAATTCCACGACGCACTTGTCTAGGATATCCAATATTTATGCAAAATTCCCATGCCTCGTCTCAAACTCGGTTACTCTTACTCGGTCCCGGACGAATCACGATCGACTCGGTCTCGGAGTCAACACGACACTAGTAAACTGGCCTTATTTCTCTTCCTTAGATTCCTCGGATACTCGGGTCTGCTTCCGACGAGTTCAGGGGCCAGTGGACCCGGACTCGATTCCGCTCCCACTACTGCCAGTGCTCGTCACCGCATCAGCTTCTGGTGTGTTACTTGTTTGGCAAGCGCAACAACGACCTGGTAGCACAACGGCTAGTGCACCTGCATATTGTGGAATTTTCCCGCCTTATGTTTCTGTAGAGAGTCTCCGTTCGACTCGGAGTCAGGTCATATTCCAAATCCATGCCTTTCTTTTTTCTTTTATTATTCGTCAGCTGATTCTTGCCGCCAATAATCCTGATCCTACCTTCTTCCCCTTGGGTCTGTATGCTTGCTGTGCCATCAAAGCTCCATCGTTCCAACAGCACAACGTCGCAAACGAACTAAACCAATATTACTGCACTGGGACCTCAGGATGGTGGCTTTAAATATCCAAGGCAGAAAACCACGCAATTGCATAATCCCTCAGCCCAGGTTTTACGCACCCACAGGAAGATCTGATCGCACAACGGTTAATGCGTCTGCATTCAGTATTCTGGAAAGATAGTTTCCGCAGAATATCCCCGTTCGATTCGGGGTCAGGTCATTTGAATTCTGAGGCGAGCCTTTTTCTTGTCCGTCATAGCTACCCGAACGATCTCCGTGCTTCATTTTATGCACCAGGCTACAAGTTCCAACTCATTTCTCTTCCCTCTCTTCACAAATTCAACCACTGGTGCTTCGATATGTTCGTTTCTCAGGCTGGCGATAATTTACTTCAAGACGGCGGAGATGTACCCTGGCCTCGCCGGTAGTGGGCACAGCTTCATTCAAGTTCACAAATTAAATCAAGGACTGTCCTTTTTTGGCCTAACTTGTCTCAGGTGTGCACCCGCGGTTCGTTCATTCAAAGCTCGAGATACATGGATCCAAGGATGACCTGGTAGCACAATGCCAGTGTGCCTGCATACCGTGAGAATCAGATTTGGCGGTTTCTGCAGAAGATCCGAATCGAACGGGGACCTTCTGCCTAACCGTTGCACAAGAATCCTCAAATTGAAGCCGATGTTGTTGTGCCTCTGGCGAGAATTGTCAACATTTTAACATTTATATATAGAAATGGGACATTCCGGTGGATAACTCGCTATTTGGGTGCAGGGCAGAGGACCGGGTGACATCATTTGGAGCCTTCGGATCGGGTTGAGAAGAGATAAACGTCCCAGCAGCCAATCACGTTTATCGAAAGTCAAAGGTGTTCGATTGTAATAGAGAGTTTGCGCAAAAGCCGCAAAAGCCGCACGCGGCTTTTTTGCATTGCGCAAAGCCGCACGGGGAAATCTCGCCTGTGAGCCCTGTAACAAATGTATATGAGCAGAATGTGTATACTTTTGCACTGTACTGGCTCCCTTCTATGCCCAGCCAAGGTGGGCTTTCATCGCGCGCGGGGAAGCGTGTGCAGAATGTATTTCGGGAGCTTCATCGTTGTTCTTAGCCTGTAAACGTGTCGAGTGCCGTGTTCGGGTCGGAGTGAGACTGGCTTTGGCACGTATCTTGCCGCGAGTCATTGTAGAAACTGACACCTGAGGACTGAGTGGCTCGCTGAAGCGAAAATCAAAGCGGTATTGATACGGTCACATGTTGATTTTTCCACGCTTGGGCCACCAAGGCGTCAACATGACATTGCGTATTATTACAGACCAGTTTCCAACTCCAAAATACTAGTTTGAATTGGTTTTAAAGGTAGTAATTCAAATCAACCCCGCGGCTTTGCGCAATGCAAAAAAGCCGCATGCGGCTTTTGCGGCTTTTGCGCAAACTCTCTAATATAGATACTAGATCTTAATTTAATTTGCCTTATTTCGAGTGTATGTACCCCAACCCGTATTTGTATAGAGTCCCCAGTCAGCCTTTTTCCGAGTCCCACTCTTGCCTCCAACCTCCGTGTCGGATTCTCGTCCTGGGTGTTCTGGGCGTACGCAGACAACTGTAGAATGAGTCTGAACTCTGCGACTTTTATGGCCCGGGGCTCTCTGCATCCAACAAATCGCGGTATCACCCGGACTCGATCCCATTCCCACTGCTGCTCATCACAATTCACCGCGTCAGCTTCTGGTGTGTTATTTCCTTGGCAAACGTAACAACGGCCTGGTAGCACAGTGGTTAGTGCATCTGCATGTTGTGGATTTTTCTCATCTTATCTTTCTGCAGAAGATCTCCGTTCGACTCGGGGTCAGGTCATGTTTGAATTCGACCGTTTCTTTTTTTTTTTTTTTTCCTTTTTTTTTTTTTTCGCATCAACTGGTTCCTGCCGCCAATAAATTCTAATCCTGCTTTTTGTGTGTGCTTGCTTACCGTCGTTTCTACCTCCTCCGCCAGTATAACGTCCCAAACGAATTGAATCAAGGGTGCACTCGGAACTCGGGATTGTTTGTGCCTTTCAATTTACTCGGCAACAAGCCCCGCAAAGTCTCTTAGCTCAAGTTGCATGCACCCACCAGAAGACCTGATTGCACAACGGCTAGTGCGTCTGCATTCAGTATTCTGGAAAGATAGTTTCTGCAGAGGATCCCTGTTCGATTCGGGGTCAGGTTATGTCCATTTCGTCCAAAATTTTCCTATGGGCTCATCGGCTGGTTTGCTCCGCGGGAATCACCCATCACAATTCTTCTTTTTTGGCTGCATCCGCTGATCACCGGTCACCCCTCGCGATCGTGCGATAAGAAGAAAAAACTCAAGCATTCCTTACTGGATATCCCGACTGAGCGACCTCTCACAATACCTCAAACCTCGAGGTGCTGGTGCGCAGGAAAGACCTGGTAGCACAATGCCGTGCGTCTGCATATATTACTTGGCCGGGAGCTTTCTGCAGGTGATCCCCGTTCGACTCGGGGTCGGGTCATGCTGCGATCGTCATCCACCTTTTTTTCTCTGGGATCGTCGGCAGTTTAAACTATCCGTCGCAATTTTTTCCTGTCTCTGCTTCACGATGCAGTCCTCATTGGTCTGACATACGGCTCGCAGGTAGGACATAAAGTAGCTGATCACTGAGCTTATCTCCGTGAAGGATTCCCGGAAGCTGGGATGGTTTAAAAAGATATTTCAGTGGATGATGCATTTGGGTGCGGGGAGTCGAACCCCGGTCTGCGGCTTAAATATCTGCACTACATAAGTGTCCATCTACCCTTGGAAAGCGACGCAAACCTACCAAATTGCTCGCTGCGTCAGTTCCGCCAACGTGTGCACAGGTGTGCACGCTCCCGATGCTCACCGCCCACCTGCTGGCCGGTATGGGCGTGGCGTCCACGCTGTCGCCCGGCTCCGGGCGGCAAAATGTCGCCATGTACTCCACCGCGGTGTGAACCACCACCCTGTCCCCGGCGGTGCCTCGATATAGTTATCTGCCTACCAAGTCACATCTCCACTTTAGCGTGCTGCACCGTCAATGAAATGGACTTGATCCCACGAACCTTCTGTTCCATCTCCTTCAGATCTTGGGTACTGACTGCATCGTGGTCGTTTGTATCGGAACTTCGGAAACTTTAGCCGGGCTTGACGTCGGGCCTTGCATTCGGCACGCCATATAATTGTCCGTCCACAGCGGAGGCAGCGTTGTCAGCTGTTCTACAGTTACGAGAGAATGATCGCTGTCGCGATATGCTCAGCGCCTATTCCACCACTTGGCTCTTTCTTCCACAATGTCCTTGGAAGCTGTACTACAGATCGTGCTCGGAGTGACTCCTGTCCCTGGACTCTCTCCGGCATTCACAGTGTTCAAATTCATCGTCTCTTCTGTGCAGGCGGTGCAAGAAAGCAAAAAGCAGCTCGAAGTTCTGGCCACGGCGGTCGGCCAGCTTTTGGCCACTTTGAACTCAGAATTTAGGTCATCAAGGCTCATTGCATCCAATTGCAGAACGCCGCTCGCAGATCTCAAGAGGTGAGCATGTTATCTTGCAGGATTTCAAGTCTAATCTGACATTCTGCAACAGCCTACTCGAGGATATTCACCGATTCGTTCACAAGGAACAAAACAGGGGCTTCTTCAAGTCTCTCTTGAACAAGGATTCTCGAATTGCTAGCATGGAGACATTCTATCGCCGCATCGGGATTTCTGTCAACGCATTTCAGGTGTGTCATAATTTCTGGGGTGCCACTGGGCTGACCATTTCACTAGATATCCGGGCTGCTGAGTATTCAAAGTATACTAGCAAGGAATCAGATGGCACGCAAGGAGGACACAAATGTCTTGAATGCCCGCTTGAAAGCTCTTGAGCAGAATCAAGTATATCTTCGAGAAACACTTGGTTCGTCAACTGCATTGTGCTCGTCACTTTCGAATTTAAAGTATTTTATCCAGATATCAAACAAAACAATATGATTGCTATGATGGCCTGCATTCAAAGGAGGCTCGATGGCGAGCATATCAATCCCCCTGAACAGAAGTTTTATTCGCATACACTTCAGTATCTGACTTCAATGAGTGGTCAGCAAGTCAAGCTGGAAGACTGGATGATTGCATCCTTCGATGTTGATTATGGCCCTGAAATTGGTTTCGGTGGATTGTAAGCTTGAGTTATCTAGATATCTTTACTGTTCTGAATGTTATGCAGTGGCAAGGTGTACCGGGGGACCTGGAACCGAACAGATGTGGCCATCAAAGTACTGCACAGTGTTGCAGGTGTTACCCCAAGCCCTGTGGTAAGCGTGAGAACACATATTGAGGTGCTTTCGACCAACCATTTGATTTTAGCTCTTGCGACAAGAAATTGATGTTTGTGTCAACTTTGAACTCTGCAATAAAACCAACCTTATTTAATAGATCTGGTTGACCCTCCGTCATCCGAATATCCTTCAGTTCCTTGGTGCAAATACCCTGGATGATAAACCATTTATCGTGATGCCTTACATCCCCAATAATGCCAGACAGTTTCTCAAACAGCAGCCTGCTTTCGATCCTGTGTACATCGTGAGTTTCATCACTCAAATATGCACCCAAATAATGATATAACCAGCTCCGTGATATATCCCTTGGCCTGCAATATCTGCATTCACGCAAGATCTGTCACGGGGACATAAAAGGCGTGAGTAGATGATCTTCAATGTTGTTTCCCGTTGATATTGATTAATTCAGATCAATATTCTTGTGGAAGATTCCGGGAGATCACTTTTGTGTGATTTTGGTCTTTCTCGTGTCAAGGCCAATATCACCACTCGCACAGCTCAACCTGGGAACATGATATTGGCAGGGAGCAGAAACTGGATGGCTCCTGAGCTCCTCGCAGGCTCACTGCCCATGATGACATCAGATATCTATGCATTTGGCATGACAATGTATGAGGTGAAGTGATTTCCATTCCTCCTCTGTCTGCCATTAATTATCATTTTTTTAAAACAAAAACAGCTTTACACTGATGAAATCCCGCTGGCCAGTGTTCCACACACAGATTTCATTGAGCTCGTATTCCGACTCGGCATCAGGCCAACTCGGCCGGACATTGATGATGTCCCAAAGCTGACTGATCATCTCTGGAATCTGGCAGAACTATGTTGGTTCCACGAGGCCAAGGCCCGACCAACCATAGGGAAAATCCATGATATGATTGAGGATATGATCTCACAAATGTCTAGCACCATACCTGCAGAGGCTGAGGCAACTATAAGCTGTAAAAATGAGGAAAGGTCCGAAGATCCCCAAAAAGAACTTGAACAGGCAGCAAGGCTGAACTCCAAGCTACTGGAAAGAACCCAGGCCTTGGGAGAGGACCATCCAGAAACTGCATGTATCATGATTGAATTGGCCAGTGTTTACAATCAACTGGGGCAATTCAAGGAGGCAGAAGTGCTTGGGATAGCAGCAATGGAGAAGGGGAAGCAAGTCTGCGTGGAGGATGATCTTCTGACACTGCACACAATGTCTGTCCTGGTGAATACTCTCACTGGATTGGGCAGAGCAAAGGAAGCGGAAGAGCTTGGGGTGCAGGTAATGAAGAGATTGAAGAAGGCTTTGGGGGAGGACCATCCTAGCACCCTTGAGGCTATGAATGACCTGGCCATTGCCTCCTTCAATTTGGGACAGTTCAATGAGGCAAAAGAAGTTCAGATGACACTGATGAAGAAACAGAAGCAGATCTTAGGGGAAGACCATCCGAACACCCTGCTGACCATGAGTAACTTGGCTGAGACTTACCTCAAATTATGGCAACACAAAGAGGCTGAAGAGCTAGCACTGGTGTTAATTGAAAAACAGAAGAAGGTCTTGGGAGAGGAGCATCCTAGCACTCTCAAGACAATGAGTTACTTGGCTGTTGCCTACTGCAATTTGGGACAGTTCAAGGTCGCCAAAGAGCTTGAGATGACACTGTTGAAGAAGCAGAAGCAGGTCTTGGGGGATGACCATCCTGATACTCTGCTGACCATGAGTAACTTGGCACGCACTTACCGCAAAGTAGGGCAATTGAAACAGGCAGAAGAGCTAGCAATGGTGATAATCCAAAAACAGAAGCAGGTATTGGGAGAGGACTATCCTAGCAGTGCTACCACCCTCAAGGCAATGAGCCATTTGGCTGTTGCCTACTTCAATTTGGGACAGTTTGAGGAGGCAAAAGAAGTGGAGGTAGCACTAATGAAGAAGCGGAAGAAGGTCTTGGGGGAGGACCATCCTGACACCCTGCAGACTATGAGCAACTTGGCCAACACCTCCCTCAAACTAGGGCAACTGAAAGAGGCAGCAGAGCTTTCAGTGGCAGCGATGAGAGGAAGGAAGAAGATCTTGGGGGAGGATCATCCTCTCACCCTCAAGACCATGAATGACTTGGCCACTGCCTACCATCACTTGGGACGATTAAAGGAGGCCAAAGAGCTTGGGGTGGCATTGATGAAGAAGCAGAAGCAGGTCTTGGGGGAAGATCACCCGGACACCCTGCTGACCATGAGCAACTTGGCCATTGCCTACTTCAATTTAGGACAATTGAAGGAGGCGAAAGACCTTACAGTGACAATGATGAAGAAGCGGAAGCGGGTCTTCGGGGAGGACCATCCTATCACCCTGAAAACCATGAGTGACTTGGCCAGCATTTGTCTCAAATTAGGGCAATTGAAGGAGGCTGAAGAGCTTGTGGTGGCGGCACTCCAAAAGCGAACACAGATCTTGGGAGAGGGACATCCTGACACTCTGAGGACCATGAATGTGTTGGTTTCCATATTCAAGAAGCTGGGCAAGCTTGCGGAGGCTCAGGTGATTTCTGACACGATTGAAAAGATGAAGATCCACTAGGCTAGTTACAATCTTGCATCCCATAATCATAAATGATCCTAGAAGACAGAAGATTCCAGTTAGGGACCTGTGAAGTATGCAACGTATGTTGTAATATGGTATTTTCCACCCGATTAAACAGCCTCGAAGGTAGTGCTCGTTTTGGATATAAACTTAGATTTAAAAACAGGATCAGGAATGGCGAGCGCTGAATGTTGTTCCCAGTCCTTTCCTCAAAGATAGGTAGATATTATTATGTACAATTGCTCCAACGGGAGACTCACCAGGTAGGTAGGTACATGTAGGTATGTAGGTAGATGGCACGGTCCAACTCATGAACACTGGTTTCCAGGAAGTATCCCAGCGTAAACACACTAATTACACCATCATCCCTGAGCCCTCCTGCACTCAGTTAAACGATGTCACGGTTGCAGCCGTGGTTCGAAACGTCTAGTCGCCGCGTAGATCTAAAAAAGCCGTAAGAAAGCAAAATAAGGTCAGCACATCAATAGGGGTTAGCCTGTCGAACTCAACCGAAACACGGGGACGGTGTAGAAAACTTCCAGGGATCAGTGCCGGGACTGAACAAAGGCGTGCCCGACCGTGTAATGTTTGTTTTTCGGAGGTCCGGTGCTTCGAAGTCAGTGGCAGTTCGCCTGAGGACACAGAGCAGTAATCTCTCCTTGGGACGGGAAAGCATTCTGATGCCAGAGCTTCCACGAGCGACAACAGGTCCATACTGATACCGTCTGGTATAGAAGATGCACGCCGATTTTTCCTCTCTTTTTTTTTCTTCAGGAAGACGATGACTGCGCATACCGATGAGCTACTTCTCACTATTGGATTCTCTCAGTCGTGTAAAGTTTTCTCGCCAACATGATTTTCATTCTTTCTGAGAACTAGTTACTGTTACCACGCTAAATAGAAGTTCGTGTAGCCCTCATGTTCACGTTCGTGTCCCGGAGTCCTGAAGAGCTGCAGTGATTCTTAGCACCACTACCTTCAAACCAAGCTCAAACGCACCCAAATTGAACAGGAGGGAATTCGTGACTCCAGATCACGCTCCTGCGCCCCGCTGTAGATGAGGCAGCCGGCCGGGATGCAGCATTGGTAGTTATGTGGAAACGTATGTATCTGTTGGAGGACGTTGAGCCATGCAGGTTCCACAATAATATAATAACGTCCCTCTGGGATTCTTGCTGAGACTATTGAAGACAATTTGAGCTCTAGAGAGGCACGACTCTGGCGTCTGGGAAATTCAATATGAGGTGAGACAGCATAGTCCTGTACACAGTCTAATGGAGCTTTTGCTGCGGCCACTGGCAGCATTTCTTGTCTTCGCTAAAAATGGTACTGCAGTAACTATATATATTCAGCACTATTCATCTTAGTACCCAATGCTGGCAAGCGATTATCTCGCTGTCCAGGACTCTGCTAAGGTGTCCAAAGAGTTTTCCTCAATAGGTCACTGAGTGCAACTCCGCACTGCAACTGTCTGGCCCCAGACATGTTTCAAACACTTCAGCTGTTGAAAAGTGCTGATTGCAATGGTCATTTTGGGCTGCAGAGGAGGCTACGAAGCATATCATTGCGGCACTGGTTGAAAACTATCTCTACATTTGGCGTACCTCGTTATCTACCTCCCAAAAATCAATTGAAAAAAAATTGCGGTTCATTCGTGTCCGAACCTGTTCACCCGAACCGAACCCTTTGTGGACTGTGAAAGTTTGGGTTTTGGGAGAACCGGCGCCAATCCTTTTTGGGAACCGGCGGCTGACGGCGGCAGAGTGTCGGAGTTTGAATTTCGACTGACAGGCCCCCGCTCTCCCGCGCCCTGCTCTCCTCCCTCCTCCACCCCTGACGTGTTTCCTCCTCCCGCCATCGCTGAATTGTGAACGGCTTTGCTACTTACAGAGTCCGCGTGCCCAGCGGTAGTCAATGAAAGCGTGCTCATCTCTCTGGTTGAGTGCCTCTGACGGATAATTCCCAAATATCATTTTTTAAAGCATCCCAGCACGTGTCCATGTTGGCCAATAGAATGCCGAATTTCAGGCGCGCATGAGACAGGCATATTGTTGGAGGAAGCGCGTTATTTGGCTACAGGGCGGCTACCAAGTAATTGATGGCGGCACTGCCTGCCACCGAAATTATGTTGATCCGCCGGTGCCGCCGTCAGGTACCGATCATCGCCGACCTCGATCGGCGCCGGTTCTCTCAATTCCCAAATGCTCTCTGTGGACTGGACCGATGTCCGGTCCGAGGTTCGGAAAATCTAAGCGAACCGGACCCCAGGTCGGGTTCGAGGTTCGGATTTTTTAGCAAAAAGCCGGACCGAACCGGACATTGGCAACACTAACCGTGAGTCAATAGCCACAGTTACGGCTACGGGCGAAGGAGTCAAACTAAGATGATTGGGTCGCGGCCCCGGGAGATACGGTATGCCGGGGGCTTGATGTATATTTCGACATTGTTCGTCATCTTGTTGCCGCTGTCGAGAACGTCATCGCATCCAAGAGGGGAAAGGTGAGCAGAGGGCGCGCCGATGGCGGTGCGCGCAACAGACGGGGCTATGAGCCGTCGCGTGGTACGATGTTAGGTAGTCTGCGATGCGCAGTGCTAGGGCGCTGTTTATACCGGATCCTGTGGAATTAGAACCCGGTTGTGAACCTGGTTTGTAAACAGGGCTGTCACACCTTTTCCTTTCTTCCTTATGCTTTGCTCGGTTTCTTCCCTTTTGGTCATTCTCCGTCCTTCGTGCCTGCATGTTCGCACTTTCGGAACCGACCCACCCGTCACTCCCTTATTTTGTCTTGTAGTTCTCTTCTCTCCTTCCTTTGTTGCTCATTGTTCTTTCTTCCTTCGTTTTCCTTCTCATAACTTGTCATCCTGCTTCCTCCCCGCTTTGTTTCACTCCCCCATCTTTCTCTCTGCGGCCGGCATACATACATACTTTTATTCCCGCGTTGCCATTTCTTCCATTCCTTCCGCTGATTTATTCTCCGCCTGTGTCCTTCCTTCTTTTCTTCATCTCCCCTCGCGCTGGTGTTCCGCTTTCCTTTCCCTCCGTCTCTTTCCTGTGCTTTGCTCTCGCCATTCTTACTACTGCTGATTCGCTCCATCTTTCTTTGGGCTCCTCGTTCAACGTTCATCCCCCGCATCGTCGTCGTGGTCATGCACGCAGGAACTTCGCCTCTCCTTCCTCCGCACCGGTGCGGAGCTCACCTTCGCGCTACGAGGCACGAGCTTCGTGTTGAAGCGTCTGTCTACGAGAGACTACCTCCGCGCAGATCTTCGCCGGCGGGCCTGCGCCTGCGAACCTACGCCTGCTTGCGCCCGGCGGGATGATCCCCCTCTTACCTACCCCCGGCGCTGTCAACCCGCTCGTACACACACCTAATTGGCTCGTACACACGCCCATAGCTGTGAACACATTTTCACCGCAAGCGGCAGTGCAAGGTTTTCTGTTCGGGAGTGCGCCTGCAGCAGCCCCACTCTAGGCAGCGCCGGCGCAGGTGTTCTCCTTCGGCGCGCCGCAGCTCACGCCCGTGTCGACGCGTAGCGTGCTTGGCGCCCCACAACAGCAACAGCAAAAGCAAGCGCAGCAGCAGCGCAACCCAACGTATTCGGTGCTCCACAACAACCTGCTCCGCAAACCAACGTATTCGCGGCCCCGACAGTACAACAACAAGCAGGGGCGGGGCCGACGTTCTCCTTCGGGGCGACGCCGACGGGGGCGGGCGCAGGCGCGGGTGGGAGGGGGTTCTCGTTTGGGGTAGGAGGGAGAGATGCGGTCGTGTTATCGTTTGAGCTTTTGTGGCTTTGAATTATTTTTATTTGCTTGTTCGAGCTTCCTGTCGGCGTGCGCAATAGAGTAAGAGAGGGGGGAAAGAAGAGAAAGGAGGGAAGGATCTGATAGCATAATGGTTAGTGTGTCTACTTAGATCGAACTGAAGGTGAATTTAGGCAGAGGATCTCCGTTCGCTTCGGTGTCAGGCCATGTGTTGTATATAAAGTGTTTTTTTTTTTCGTTATTTACGCGGTTCCAGAAACCAAGGTGAGCTGAGCTGGTGGGAGAAGGACGACGAAGGGTATGGACCTGATAGTACAACGGTCAGTGCATTGTTTTCACTAGGTGATTCCTCGCAGTGGTTAGGCAGAAGGTACCCGTTCGACGCGGGGGCAGGTCATGATGATGGAGAAAAAGCTCTTTTTGTTTTATTAGTTGTTCTCAGAGGTGCATTTGAATTTCGCTAGCTTATTTCAAGAATGCAGTGAAGAAGAAATGACCTGGTAGCATAGTGGTTAGTGCGTCTGCTTCAGCTAAAGAATTTCGAGGTTTCTTAAGCAGAAGGTTCCTGTTCGATTCGGGGTCAGATCATGGCGCGATGAACGGCTTCTCTCTTCTTTTCGTGGGTCAGAAATAAAGGTGGGCTCATCTAGTTGGAGAGTGAGGTTGACAGGCAGAAGGACCTGACAGCACAATGGTTAGTGCATCTGCTTCAACTATGGCATTCCTCAGTGGTTAGGCAGAAGGTCCCTGTTCGGTTCGGGGTCAAGTCATGACCTACTCTTCCGCTTTTTTTTCTTAGCTTGCAGTAGTTTGACTTTGACCTCGACACCCGGGCAGAACTGGGCTTATTCCTTCGACTCACAGAATTTCATTTTCTATGATTATTGACATCAATATTCACGGCTCGACCGGTGCGTAGGATTAACATCCTCAGCAAGTCTGAATACCAAGCCAGATCTGAACACGAAGGGGCCGCTTCAGCAATTATGGCACGTCACTTCAATCGTCTACGAACACAGACAGCGGCCAACACTTCGGCCGAGGCGGAACGCACAGTTGGAAAACATGACCAGTTAGCGCGCGAGGGTAGCGAGTTAGCGTGCTGTTTGGGAATAGTGAGTCGTATTCTGTAGAAAGAGGAGCACAAAGTGAGGCCACGACGTACAAAGAGATTGCGAGCACAGATGGACATCCAAAACTGGCGTGCTATCGGGCTCTAGGAGCCAGACATGCCAAATGAGCCGTGAATTTTCCGGGGGCTCAGCGTGCGCGGTATGTGTTTTGGAGGTCATCCCAGACGGCTGTGTGCTCAACAGAGTGGACTTTCCAGCCAAAAAGCGCGGAGATAAATAACACAATGCGGCAAGAGCGCGCGGCACGCAAACCCGAATGAACACATTATACAGCTGCAGGACGCGGCAGTCCGCCGATTCGGAGAGATAGCGAACAGACGCGGCGGCGTGCAAGGCACGAAAGGAAATTGAAGGGCAAGTGATTGAAGAACATCAGAGCAGGAGGCGCGAGAGTAAGGAAACCAAAGGTGAGAGCCTTACTGTTGAAGTGTGCTCTAGATTTAGTGAAGATTGTTGGCTGGGACGTCTTAGGTCCGAACCGAGCAGTCCAAGAATTGAGGTTGGGGGCGAGAAAGGGTACGATAGGATGCACGTTTCGGTGGGGCTTACCGCCGTGACGTCGTCGCGGAGTCGGAGACCATCGCATCAAAGAGGAGAAGAGAAAGTGGAAGACATGCTCATCGGCGAAGCGCATGGTGGACCGGGGTCGGTCGGGAACGGCGGGCGGCCCGTCGCGCGGTACGAGGCCAAGTGGTCCTCGGTGCGCACCTACTATTTAGGCAAGTCGCCCACCCCGTCCGAACGATCGTGTGTTAGGGCGGCGCAAGGGCCGCGGAGGGTACCGGGAAGCGAGGTCAGGTAAATTCGGCCGCTCATCGCACACTAGAGCACCACAACCTCCAACAGCCCGCGCGCATCCCACGCTGCAAACACACGGTGCATGACGGCGCGGGGATCGACGCCCTGCGCACCCGACGGCAGACGCAGCACATGTACCGCAACCATACACGCCGACTGCGAAGCCACACATACCTCGGCGAGGCGGCGCAGCGCGTCCTCGCGCAAGCCGTGTTCGTTTCGGAGGAGCAGCGTCAGGCGCGTAAGCGGCGGGGCCTCTGCAAGCGCCGCCTCGACATCGGCGAGGTCGTGAGCGTGAGGTCCGTCAGCGCGTGGAACTGGGCGAGGAGTGCGGGGTGCGTGGCTCTGCACAAAACTGAATCAGCGAGGGTCTGGCCGGAGCGACGCGTGCGTACGTGCGTCGAGGGTGAGCCGCCTGAGAGACGTCCGCGCGCGGGAAAGGAGGGCGTGGATTCGCGATGTGAGATATGCGAGGTACTCGCATTCTTCCACAGCGGAAAAGTCGAACGGGGACAGCGGGCCGAGCAGCCAGGCGTCGGGCATGTACATGTCGAACGGCACATATCGCAACATCTTGATCGTCCGCTGGCCGTGCGGCGCGGCGTTGTCTTGCTCAGTGCTGGGTGGATCGACCAGCTTGGGGAGGTGCAAGGAGATGGAGTCTACTGCGGGGGAGCAGCGTGCGAAGAGGCGGCTGAAATCGTAGATGGTGTGGAAGAGGGGTGCGACGAGCCCAACGCGCCGGATCGAGGGGGCGCTGAGGAGGTGCGCCGCAAGCGTAAGCTGCTCGTCCGCTGCAGCTTCAGGCCGCCGCCGGTGCAACACAACCGCCTCCAGATTCGGAAACTTGCAATTGAGCGGGCGGAGCGCGGTGAGCACGTCGATGTCGAGGGCCGCCCGCAGACTGCGCACTAGCGACAGGAGGTACGGCGACTTTTTCACCACGGCACAGAAGCGCCTGCAGGTCCCCGCCTCGTCGTACCGGCCAAGGGGCGCGGGATCGTCGATGCCCTGGCAGCCTCGGTGGAAAATGATATCGTGGAAGAGATGGCGGTGGGCGGAGGAAGTGAATACGCGGGAGACGAGCGCGCATGATTTGAGATCCCGCTTGGATTCTGTGAGGTAGTCCGAAATGTGGTCGCAGAGCTCCTGCACTTGCAAGGCTGTGGTGGCGCTCATCAAGGAGGACGATAAGCGAGTCGCCATGACACCAACATGACCCACGTACCCAACGTGTGCTTTCTCAGTCACAACACAGTGGGCTCCCTTCTTGAGAGGGGCGAGTGACCTGGTAGCATAATGGTTAATGCACCTGCATTCAGTCACGCAGAAACCTAGTGTTTTATGCAGAGGATCGTCGTTCGATTCGGGGTCAAGTCGTCATTTTTGATCCAGACTCGGAGACCTTTTCAAGTTCTTTGGTTCGCGCTGCGGACAACAGATCTTTTTTTCTTGAACTTCATTCTCAAATCAACCGTTTTAGTATTTGTATTCTAGATCTCTCAAGCCCTAGACGATACTTCAAGACCTGAGGCACATCTCAGTAAAGACCCGGTAGCACAATGTCCAGTGCGTCTGCATACACTGGATGGTCGTGAAACGTTGATTCTACGGATGAGCCGTTCGAATCAGGCTATTCTCGATGGTTTCCAATTTTATTAGGCTTGTCATCGTATTCTTACAGATGTATCCAGCCTTACATCTCAGCCTTAGATTTGATTCCCTGGCAGAAAGAATCCACTCGGTTTAGTCTCCGCAATGATGAGGCCAGACGATACTGTCTCTCCGATAGATTAAATCAGTCACGGCAAGCAAGCCTTGATTTTCTCGGTGGATCAACAAATCTGGACATACCCTTCTACTATCTGGTTCGATCGCAAAAAGATGTACTTCCGGGAATACAAGTGCGAGAAGTCGAACCCCTGTCTCCGCACAAAAGTCAACCGTGACGCACCACGACCAACCGCCGTGCGCCGTGCTCCACGCCCAATACCACGCTCTCATCATCAATCGAGGGGCGGTGACTACATTGTCTCCCCAAACAGAACATGTTAGAAATTCCTATTAACGCCACATTGATCCCACAGGCAGGAAGTGTGTAGCTGAACAGAGAACTGATTATCTCGGGGAAGCATTCCCCGAAGCAGAAAGAGCCAAAAAGAAGATTCCAATCAACGAAGACACTCGGGTGCGGGGAGTCGAACCCCAGTCTGCGGTTTACATCCTCGAACCAATTGCCTGATGGATAGGTTCCATGCACCGTACATCTCACCCGATTTCTATCCTTCAATGGGAGTCCTTCCAGTGACGTACGAGCGGACACGGCAAAAAACCTGCATAATGGGTCTTAGGTACACTCCCGCCAAAAACGAAGGCCAGGGTAATAAGACTATGATCCCGGACGGAGAATATTACCTGCTGACCGGCGACCTAAAAACGGAACACCGCCGGCAAATCCCGCCGGCTGACAAACGGCTGATCAATACGCGGTCTACCGTCTTCGCTTCGCTAATCTTCGTCGTCAGGAATATGACGCCTCCTCGTTCTATAAGAGACGCTGATCGAACCTCAGCCACCCCACCTCCAGTGACTTCTTCAACTCCAACTTCAGTTAAACAACAATGCCCATTATCACGATCTTCGGTGCGACTGGGACCCAGGGTCAGTCGGCTCTTAGGAGCCATAATAATTAAATGCTCAGGATATCATATTACGCAGGATCTTCTGTGCTCGACGCTGTCCTCGCCGACGGGAAATACACACCGCGCGCCGTGTCGCGTAGCCTCGATTCTGCCGCAAGCAAAGCCCTCATCGCCAAGGGCGTCGAAGTCGTCAAGGCGGACCTTTTCGACCTTGCGTCAGTGAAGGCTGCCATCCGCGGGAGCGAGGCGGTGTTCGGGGTGCGTCCAGTGTGATACTTTGCCCGCCGCTCGGTCCTAAATTTTTGTCCCGCTCTTTAGACCACAAATTTCTGGGATCCTGAGGTATTCCCCGCCGATCCCAAGGGTAAGGGGGAGATCACACAGGGAAAGAACCTCGTCGATGCGGCCAAGGAGGCCGGAGTGAAGTTCTTCATCTGGAGGTGCACGCCCTGCTTACGCTCGACGGTTCAGAATTAATTCCGTGATTTCAGCTCCTTGCCCAACGCGACCAAAGAATCAAACGGACTGTACACCCACGTCTATCACGTAGACAGTGAGTCCCTAATTCATCTACACCGACCACTGTCTCGCTGACATGTGCTCAACATCAACAGATAAAGCGGAGATCGAAGAATACCTTAGAGCCTCAGGTGTGCCGCACGCCGTGCTGCTTACTGGCTGGTTCGCGGAGAACCTCTGGAAGTACGCATCCCACGTCTGACTAGGATATCGAGTCCTGACGCTTGCCTCCACTAGAATCGGATCGCTCACAAAGACCGACACGGGATACACCATCCCCATCCCCAAGTACGGCCCGGAGGACACGCAGTCCGCCACCTGGGTCGCGCACGACCTTGGTGCCTCCGCCGTCGCCCTTCTTTCCAACTACACCGACCCATCGAAGGGCGTCCTTGGGAAATCTTTCCCTGTTATCAGTATGAAGTTCACATATCCTCAGATGGCAAAGGTCATCGCGGCCGGTGCGTCAACCTTTTTTCGTACTCCAAGGAGATGTAAGACTGACGAGCACCCAGCGATCAAGAAAGAGGTGACGTTCACCCCAGTCGAGACAGCTGGGATGGCTGAACTCGATGAGATGGTGCGCATGTTACCTTTCGCTCATTTATTAAACCCGACCTCTCGTCAGTTCCTCTTCCAGGCAAAAATCGGGATGTACCCCGACACCCCTGTGCCGAACCCCGCCTTGGTCGCGCTGGGTGTGAAGTTTGGGTCGTTGGAGGAATTCGTTAAGACCGAAGTCGTGCCGCGGTTTGCTTAAATTTTGCTCTCCGTCCTCGCCTCCACTGTACCTTGTCGTTGCCCCGTATTGAAAATCAACTAAAGCTGCTTATTTCTGTCAATCATTTCTCCCATCCAAGGTCCATTCAATGGAGCCGCTTTCCGCTGCATTTCTCCAACTCTAAGCTGTCAGCGTTCAATTTTTGTTCGTTCGAGGTGTTGCTTCCCGCTCTTACCTACAAAGTCATAGCAGACGGAAATTTAATGCGACGCGCCCATAAAATGACGGCGGCCCGCGAGTGGACTGCGCGCTGAGATGGAACGCCGCCGGCAAATTCCGCCCGCTTACAAAACGCGGCGTTCCGCTTATATCAGCACCCGATCGAGAACTCGGAGGCGGCTTGATGTCAGACCGATGAGTAATGCGGTCGGATATAAGACGGGCGAAGGGATTGTTTGAGCATCCTCTACCGCGTCTAGAACCTCCTTGAGCTCGGAAATTCAACAACACAAGAATAATGACGATTATCACTATTTTCGGCGCGACTGCCCAAGGTGCGTTGCCCTGTCGTTAATAATAGTGGAATGGCTGAAGAAACCTTCAAGTATTCATGCCAGGCTCCTCGGTTCTTGACGCTGTGCTAGCGAACGGGAAATATACCCCCGTGCAGTCTCGCGGAACCTCGACTCTACATTTAGCAAGGCCCTGATTGCCAAGGGCATCGAAGTCGTCAGGGCGAACCTCGTCGACATCGAGTCCATCAAGGATGCAATTCGCGGGAGCGATGCGGTGGTCGGGGTTGGTTCATTTTTTTCTCTCTTTCGTTCTCCGCCCACTGACTGGTGGATCCTCGAGATTTAGACGACGAGCTCCTGGGATCCAGAAGCTATGAGCGCCGGTCCCCGAGGAGTGGGCGAGATCGCACAAGGTAGAACCTCGTCAACGCGGCCAAGGATGTCGGCGTGAAGTTCTTCATCTGGAGGTAAGCTTGTCCCACCGCGAAGTTACTCCGCACTCCACTTACTCTGTGACATAAGTTCCCTTCGGTTACCGGATACAAGTAAAGATTCGAACGGGCTATACGACAACGTTTGGCACGTCGACAGTGTGTCCTCGGCTGATTCGCATTCTAATAATGCATATCACTGAAATCTGTTCCACAGGTAAAACGACGATCGAAGCCTACCTCCGAGAATCGGGCGTCCCGCACGCTGTGCTCTTGACCGCCTGGTTCGCGGACAATCTCTGGAAGTGTGTGAGCCTCCCGATCCTAGTACAGTGATCTGAACCATCGGCTCTCTTCAGACTTAAGTTCTTGAAAGAGAAGGACATGGGGTATATCCTGCCCGTTCCCAAGTTCGACGCGGAGGACATCCAGTCTTCGACATGGATAGGGCGAGACTTGGCCGCCAGTGGGCGCGCTTCTGTCAAACTACAACGACGCCACGAAGGGCGTGGGGAGCGTGTACCCAGTCGTCAGCATGCAGTTCGCGTACCCACAGTTAGCGGGCGCGATCGCGGCGGGTACGTGCACTCTCTTGGCGGTATCGATGGGGGCTAGAGGCTCATGTGTACGCAGCGATCAGGAAGCCGGTGAAGTTTGTACCGGTGGAGACAACCGGTGTCGCTATCAATTCACCCATGAGCTTCACACAATTCTGTCTGTTTACAATTTTTATCCACACAAAGAGGAAGGCATGCCAGAGGATTTTTCATTTCTGATCATCTCTGAGGAAGGGCAACTTGCGGACAGTTCTCTGTGCTTCTGGGCCCCCGTACCAGTATTCTGAGTCAGCCAAATCATTTTCGCACTTGAAACGAACATATTATAGGCTTTGACCCAGGCAATCCAGGCAGTCGGTGAAGCAGCAGAGCGTGTCAAACACATCCCCATTTTTCCCGAGTTTGAGACAAGCCCCTTCAAGTTATCTGATATCAGAAAGCGCTGCGAAGCACGTGCTGGTCAGGTGAGCTGAGAAGGCGGCTTGTTCCGAACCTACATCATGGATCTTCAGGGTCACTCTTGTCATGGATGTCTTTTCAAAGTTCGCCAGGCCAAAAATCAACCAAAAATGCACAAAATCGAGCGCGAGCCACACGTCTTGTTTCATCCCTGGTTCAACCTCATGCTGCCACCTTCTCCTGTGTCCGAATCATCTTGGCATCACTTCATCTTGTCGAGAAGAGATCGCTCACAGGCGAGCCATTTTATCCGGAGCGAGGAACGAGGTAGGTACGATAAAGTGTTTGTCAAGAGAGACTAGCGAGCCATGCACTCCGCTCTGCCAGACTGTCACAGTGTACGCCCATCTCCGTAAACGCCCCCAGCACCAACGTGTATAGACTTGACGCAGTGTAATCGTCCCCATCGGCGAAGAAAACATCTCCAATCCGCCGCAGTGATTGAAGTGTCTCCACGATCCCTGTCTGTCGCGATTGCGCGAGATAGGCGACCGCCCAGCGGAAGGCCTCGTCGAAGTCTTGCTCTTCTAGGTAGA